AGTAGATTTTGAAAATATTTGGATTTCAGCGAAGAATTTCATTATTTGAGAAATGTAATTGAATTCTTGCAAAAAATGTTTGAAAATAATTACATTTTTCGAGGAATTCATTTAAAATTGTATTAAAAATAATTTAAATTTTAGGAAAAATTTTATTATTTATAATAATTGAATCCGTACAACAAATTTTTACTACATGTTTAAAATAATTGAAATCCTGTGAAGAATATTATTATTTATGAAAATAATTGAATTCTTACGACGGATTTTATTGAAATTTTTGTAAATAATTTTTTTGAAAAATCTTATGGAAGTTAAAATGAAGATAGCGATTACTCCGAGTCGAAGACTCGGTTAATCGCTATCTTCATGTTTTATAATAATATTCTTAAAAGTTATTGAATTTCAAAATGTTTAAGTTTTAATTTTTTTAAATCTTAATTCCTATGGAAAAAGTCAAAATTTTGTCTGGGAATCAGGGAAAAGCAAAATTAACTTTTTGTGGCATCCCCGATAAAACTTGAACTTTAAATTGTTTTAAAATTTTGTCACTGAATTAATTGTGGATTCGTAAGATTCTTAATATTAAAATTGTTGTTCGAGATTAATGTTAAAAAAGAAAGTAAACGAGCACAACAAGTTTAAACTTTGAAATTATTATCAACTTTAGTAATTGGAATAAAAATTTTTTTAGACATTCACATCGTTTGTTATCTGACATCAAAGTAAGAGAGACGCATTATGTTCTATCTCTTTCACTTTAGCATAATTTAGTCAGTTAACAACATTCTTGGCGAGTAGGAAAAATTATTTTTTACTGTTATTCCTATAAATGTACCAGACCTTCATAATTTTTCGATCTACTGATTATTAGATAGACAAAATATTTAAAGTAAAATGAAATTGAAGTATTTTTTGCACTATGATATACAGTTTGGTTGAAGAAACATAATTTGATGCTGTTAATTATATAATCATTATAATTATGTAGATGAAATAATTTGAAATACACGAAGCAGATTTATTTAATGCAACTCGGAAATGCATGCCGTTAGTGTAGATTCTCGTTTCACAGAGAATATATCATATCTATCTATAATAGTATGCAAGCAATGAGTGGAACTGACAAGTAAATTCTTCATATGAACGATAGTGTCAATATATCGAATAGTCATTTATTCTCATTGTCAGTGTATAAAGAGGCTCGTGATCTGTTTGCATGGACATTGTGGCTCTTCATATGGGTGGTTCCCTATCAGCTGAAGCATCTTATTTCCTCATAGCCAGCAGTGCACAGAGTACAACGCAACGAGCAGCATTGTCCCGCTATGATATAATAAAACGAGTTAACTCGAAACCGCAAGGTGAATCGACGACTGCCACACGCGACACCTTCTTTATGCTCTCTAATAGACTGACTTCCCTGCTACATATATATTTATTTATATACAGTCGTTAAACCAACCCTCCGCTCCGCAAGAATAGCTTCGAACCAGCCAATAAATACATGCCTCATTATTATGTACATTCAAAATTTTAAATACATACACCAGAGCATCGAACAAAAATTTATCAACAGTATCAATAAAATGTTTAATGCGCATTAAATTATAATCCCGACTAGACTGTCTATTCAATGCATATACACACTGTTCAAAATCCGACTCCAACTTTACAACTTTACTTGAAATGTTATTTCATCTTTTGAGTCAAAGTGTGAATGCTTGCATTTCATTAGTTTCAAATATTTTGTGAATCCGATCAAATGAAAGTATTCACACTTTTTGAGATTGAAAGTACATCATTTTTTATCTTTTGGTGTAACGCTGGAGTCCGATTTTCAAACAGGCTTCGAACTCATCTACTAAAACCTACTATTTACTACTTTTTTAAGTTATGATATGGTATTTTTTTAGATTTCAGCCACTAAAAGCTACTTTTGTAAACAATATTCGAAATTCAATTATTTTCAAAATCTAGTATTTCCATCAAATTTCGCAAAACAATTCAATTATTTTTTTAAAAAAATTGATAAAATTCATCCAAAATTCAATAATTTTCATAAATAATAAAATTTCCACTGGAATTCAATTAATTTAGAATATAATTTTCAAAAAAATTTCGAAAGACTCAATTATTTAACAAAAGTTTTATACATTTCTTCAAGTCAATTACTTTCACTAATAATAACATTTTTCATGGAAATTCAATTTTTTAAAAAAAATTTTTGATAAAATTCTAAGCAAGAATTCAATTATTTTCATAAATAAGAAAACTCATGGAAGAATTTCAATTATTAATACTACTTTAAATTAATAAATCGAAAAATTCGATTAATTTCTAAAATAACAAAAATTTCCATAGAAATTCAATTCCTTTTAAACATATAAATTTATCGCAATAATTCAATTATTTTCATAAATAATAAAATTCTTCACAGGAATTCAATTATTTTTGAAGATTTTAATAAAATTCTTTGCAACTATTCAATTATTATTTATTTTCAAAAATAATAAAATTCATAGTAGGATTTCAATTATTTTTAATACAATTTTACAGGAGTTGCTAAAAAAATGTAATTATTCTTATAAAAATTTAATTTACATTCCTCGAAAAAATCAATTATTTAAAAAAAGTTTTTTTTTAAATTCTTTTGAAAAATTCAATTATTTACAAAAATATACGAATTTTTCACAGGAACTCAATTAATTTAGAAAAGGATTTTCAAAAAAAGATTCGAAAAAATTAATTATTTAACATAATTTTTATACCTACAATTCTTCACAATAATTCAATTACTTTCACTGATAATAACTTTTTTCATGGAAATTTAATTTCTTAAAATAAAATTTTCATAATATTTATTATATTTCGAAAAATTTAATTGTTTACAAAATTATTAAAATTTTTTACAGGAATTCAATTATTTTCAAATACTCTAATAAAATTGTACGAAGGAATTAATTATTGCAAATACAATTTTAATTAAATTTTTTTTAAATAATTCAATTATTCTTTTAGATTTTTAAAATTTTTCTCAAGAATCCAATTATTTACAAAAATAATTCTACGAAAGAATTCAATTATTTTGAGGCATTTTAATCAATTTTTTTGTAAAATTCAATTATTTTCATAAATAACAATATTCATCTCAAGAATTTAATTATTTTTGAAAGTAATAAATTTCTTCCTGTAAATTTAATCATTTTTAAAAGTAATAAATTTCTTCTTATAAATTTAATTATTTAAAAAAATTCTAATAAAATCGTTCGCAAGAATTCAATTATTTTCATAAATAATAAAATGCTTTTTAGGAATTCAATTATTTTCAAAAAAATTTAATAAAATGCCACACAGACATTCAATTATTCTCAAAAATTTTAATAGAATTCTTTGTACAATTTATTTATTTTTTAAAACTTTTCCCAATTCAATAATTTTTAATATCTTCTAATTTCATAAAATTTCCATACAGAATTCAATTATTTAAAAAATTTGTTGTAAAAATCTTCGTAAGAATTCCATTATTTTCATGAACAATAAAAATTTCTAATGAAGTCAATTATTTAAATTAGATTTTGCATAAAATTAGTCGAAAGAAATGAATTATTTAAAATTTGTTTTAAAATTCTTCGCAAGAATTAAATTATTTTTATAAATATATTTAAATTGTTTCATGAATAATAAAATTCGTTGCAGGAATTCAATTTATTAGCAGGATAAGAAAGAAGTCAGTTTTTGAATTTTTGGCAGTTTTGTGAAGTGTTTAAATCGAGTTTCTTTTATCCTCAAGTTGATTTTTTCGATAGTTGCTTTTTTTACTACTGTTTTTAGACTGAAAGCTACTTTTTGCCAGTTTTTTAAAATTAATTATCGAGTGCGCAGTCTGAATTTGAGGAATTCAGCAATGATATTGTCAGTTTTTACTAAAGTGAAAGAAAGTTTGCCATCACGAATGATTCAGTGCATATATCAATGTCTTTATATTGGGAGAGAAAAGAAGAAAATTCCTATTACAAATAGAAGTTAATGAATTATAGAAGTCAGAATTCTTGCACCTCTAGAGTTATTAATATGAGCAGTACGGAAACTTCAAGACCTTCTAGCACCAATGGCTTAGGAGAGTATTATACCGAGTAGAGTCAAGATGCTTTTGCGATTGCCATAACACGCACAACTATGCAGTTTTACTTTAACTGCACCTCTTAAAAGCGATAAATGCCAGCTGCCTCTAAATTGCCACTTCGATGGCTACTGAGACTCGATTTAATCGCTGAGAATCATTATTACTTTTTCCCTCCAAGGTCGTCTAGTGGAGTCTTGATAAAGCTCTTTTTCCAAAACAAGTTGATTTACAACTTTGATCTAACAGTTATAACTTTTCCGATTGAATATAAATTATACATGTAGAATAGTGCGCGCATAAGTGTAAAATAACTTATCTGATTTGCTTCCATTACTTTTATTATCGTATCACAATTTTACCATATTTCCCAGTTATAATCCTATATATACATCATTTCAAATCGGGAATTAATTTTCAGTCACTACTTTGTATGATTTTGAAATGAAGAAAAATTTGTTTTTATTTCGGAAATATTTACTCGTAAACAGCTGTAGATAAGTATAAAGCAAAGAAGAAATTTTGCAGTTGCGAAAAATGTTTACTTCTAAGCTCCAAAAATATGGGATCTGACAAGTAATCGGAACAAAAGTCAGTTGTATTTTAAATAAAGAGACAAAATTTTTGAAATTTTAAATTCGTTTAAAGAGAAGAAAATTTTTACTTTTTGAAAAATTTCTTTTTCTGTTACACTATTATTTTTCTCTGCATGCTGGAGAACATGGTTTAATAATATTATCATTTAATATGAACTTTTTTCCTTAATCGTGAATAAATAATTTAGTATCAGCATATGCGCGTGTTATTATTTATTCAAGAATAATAAAGCGAAAATTACAAACGTTTACAATTTATTGTTGATTTTCCCTTTATATATAAAGAAGGAAATTAAGAAAATGGTAAATTCTTTTTGATTTCAAGTGCTTTTCGTCTGCTCATAAGCAATACTGTAAGTGTACGAATTTTCTATACACCTGTCCCTTAAATAGTGTGTATTCTTTATTTCTGAATTCTTTTTCTTTTCTCAAAAAATTTTGTTTCCTGAGATTTTTAATTTAGTGAGATAATAAAGCAATTCTGAAATATTTGTAACAAAAATGTCCTTAGTCAACTAATGACCCATTTTTTTTCCCAGAAGGTATCAAACATAATTTAGCAATATTGAAAAAACTGCATTTAGTAAAAATTTGCAAATTAATAAAAATTAGTAATTAGTTTAAATTATTAATTTTTACAAAAATCAGTTGTTTTAATTGATTGTATTTGTAGAAACGAAAATGACTCGTTTGTCGTTTATATTTTTGGCAACAATCTTAATGCTCGTGGCTCCAGTCATAAACGGACAATGCTTGCGTCCTGGTACTCGATGTCAACCTGATGGAAGTTTAGGCAATTGTTGTCGAGGAATTTGTTGGAAAGAGGTGGGATGGACTATTGGACATTGTCAATGGTTTCAATCACGTTAAATAATTTTATAAAATAAAAATAAAATTTTATAAAATACTCACGAAAAAAAGTGTTCATGTTTTGACAAAACCAATATTTTCTACTCTGAATAAAATAATTTTACTTTTACTCTTGTAACTGATTGTTACTTTTACTCTTTCTTGTATAATTTGCATAGAAAAATTGTACTTCTCTTGAAATTTTCATTATAGTAATTAGTAATTGACTATTAGTACTGTTTGCAGTAAATTTTTTTTTAACTTTTTCTTTCAATTAAAAATCTTAACAAAGTCTATGAAAATAATTGAATTTCTGTGAAATTTTTATTATTAATGAAAAGAATTGAATTCCTACGAACTTTTTATTATTTATGAAAATAATTAAATGTTTGCATACAATTTTATAAAAATTTTTTTTTAATAATTGAATTCTTTTTGGGAAATTTTATTTAATATATATTGAAAATAATTGAAATTAGAAAAATTTTTGAAAATAATTGAAATTAGGACAAGAATTTTTTTGACATTTATGAATATAATTGAACTTTGGAGAAGAATTTTGTTATTTATAAAGATAATTGAAATTTTGACGAGAATTTTTTTCAAATTTTGAACATAGTTGAATTTTATAAGAAAAATTTGATTTATTTTTTATTTTAAGAGAAAAAGTGATTGAAAAATTAACATTGTAGATCGAACAGTCACATGCTGTTAAAAACATCATTTTTCTCTCAAAATGTTAAAGAAATTGATTTGAAATTTTTTGAATAAGTCTAGAATATAATCAGGAAGGGCAACGATGTGGAAAAGTTTAAGAATTTAAAAAATTAATTAACTAATAATTTAAAAATGTTTTCTAATTAAATTTAAAAAAATAAAATTGTATTTTAAAATTTAATCGGATTCAGAAAAAAAAACCAGCTCAATTATTCAATATTCCAAAAGAAAAGTAGGAAAATTAATTTAAAATTGAAAAAATGATTCCCTCGAAGTATTTTAATACCCCTCTTGAATGACGTCATAATGTATCACATGCCCTTAAACGAGCATAAATGCAGCACGTGTTGTACATTTAAAAGTACTTTTTCTCTCCACACTTTATTTCTCTGGGTGTAAAAGAACCTCGTTTGGAAATATGTAACATACATGCAACATATGTAGTCCGGCATTTGGTTCTCTGGTCATATAAGAAACTCGAGTTCTTAGCTCGTTACTTTCATTCCTGTTCCTCATCCTTAAGAATTATATTACCATACAAAACCTTTAATTTTTTTTCACTTTTTTTTCTGCAAAACTCTTTTATTCTTTTTTTTCTTCATCTCGAGTTGCAAACAAAAAAATATTCAAATCAACGCTTCCTTTAGAAAGAAAATAAAATAAAATAAAAAAAAATGAATAAAAAAATGTAGCAACAATGTAATAATGATCGCATTCTGGTCTAGTTCAGCGACCCGCATCGCCTTTTCATGTGGCTATTCAACATACTTGTGTGTATTTGTTGACGTGAGCTTATGTATGCTCGTAGGCTCGAATGCACACATGAATGGGCATAAAAAAAAATTTCGCAGACATAATTTCGTTTGCATTGTTCGCCCTCGACTCTACAGACGAGTCTTATTGGCATAATTGATTCTCATCGAAGCGTGGGAGTTAAGTAACTAGTTCTTTGACACTGACATTGACGTAAACACTGACATTGTTCATTTTATATTAAAATTGTTCTTTTCTTTTTGTTTTCGTTTTTCGTGTATATACGCAGGGCTCGAAATAGGTTCGTAAAGTCCTTAATTTGATAGAAAAAGGACGAAAGTTCGTAAATTGTATGATATAATTTGGAGAATTTTAGAGAAATTACAAATGATTGCAGAAATTCAATTATTTTCAAAAGTAATAAAATTCTTCACAGAAATTCAATTGTATTCAAAAATTTTTTAAATTCTCGTCAAAATTTCAATTATTTTTCGAAATTATTAAAATTCGTCTCCGAAATTCAATTACTTTCAAAAATTTTAATAAATTTCTTAGCAAAATTTCAATTATTTTTAGAAATTAATAAATTTCTTGGCAAAATTTCAATTATTTTAAGAAATTATTAAAATTATTCTCCAAAATTCAATTATTTTCAAAAATTTTAATAAAATTCTTGGCAAAATTTCAATTATTTTTAATTCTTTTTAGAAATTCAATTATTTTCAAAAAGTAATAAAATTCTTCACAGAAATTCAATTGTGTTCAAAAATTTTTTAAATTCTCGTCAAAATTTCAATTATTTTTAGAAATTATTAAAATTCTTTTGCGAAATTCAATTATTGTCAAAACTAATAAAATTCTGCGTAAAAATTCAATTGTGTTCAAAAATTTTTAAAATTCTCGTCAAAATTTCAATTATTTTTCGAAATTATTAAAATTCGTCTCCGAAATTCAATTATTTTCAAAAGTAATAAAATTCTTCGTAAAAATTCAATTGTGTTCAAAAATTTTAAAAATTCTCGTCAAAATTTCAATTATTTTTCGAAATTATTAAAATTCGTCTCCGAAATTCAATTATTTTCAAAAATTTTAATAAAATTCTTGCAAAAATTTCTATTATTTTCAAAAATTTTAATAAAATTCTTGGAAAAATTTCAATTATTTTAAAAAATTTTTCTCAATTCAACGATTTTTAATATCTACTAAATAAAATTTTCCAAAAGAATTCATTCATTTAAAAAAATATTAATAAAATTCTACGCGAACATTTAATTATTTTCATAAAATAATAAAAATTTCAGAGGAATTCAATTATTTATAAATATTTTATAAATTTCATCTAAATAGTTCAATTATTTTCATAAATAATAAAATTTTTACAAAGATTCAATTATTTTCGTAAATAAAACTATTATTTTAGGAATTGAATTATGTTTATAAATAATAAAACTCAATGCTGAATTTGAATTATTTTCAATAAAATTTTAATAAAATTTCTCAAAATTGTAATTATTTCTAAAAAATTCCATTATATTTAAAAATTTTTTGATAAAATTCTTTATGAAAATTTAGTTATTCAATAAATTATTTTTTTTATTACATAAATATTTAAATTCTCGTAGAATTTTCTGATAAAAATTAATTTAAAAATGGATTTTAGTTGAAATTTTATATGATAATTGAATAATAAAAGCATTGTAGCGTGAATTTTTATAAATAATTGATTTTTAAAAAGGTTTTAAATTAAAATCATTGAAAATTTGAATTTTTCATACTTTTAACGAACAATTTTGTTAAAGAATTATTTTTTTGAAAAAGTTTATTTCAATTTTACTTGAAATTATTTTTTTGAAGTTTTTATTTTCTAATTATTAAAAATAATGGATTTATAGAAGAATTTTAGTTAAAAACAAAAAAAAATTAAATTTTGGATAAATTACAAATTGCAGAAATTCATTTATTTTGAAGAGTAATAAAATTCTTCGCAGAAATTTAATTATGTTAAAAAATAATAAAATTATTTTTAGGAATTCAATTATTTTCATAAATAATAATATTTATCGCAGAATTTCAATTATTTTTAATAGAATTTTAATCGAATTTCTTTATTTAAAAATTTGTTGATAAAATTTGTGAGAATTCAATAATTTCGGAAAACATTCAATTATTCAATAAATTTTTTATTTTTGTAACTATTTAAATAATTGAATTCTCGTAAAATTGTGTAATAAAAATTGGTTTAAAGATGAATATTTCAGTTTCAATTTTTGACACTAAATAAGAAAATGAAATGTGCAGAAATTAATTAACATTTTGTTGGAATTTTTTGATGATAAAAGTTGAGACAAAAATATTATTTGCGAGGCCGAAAAGAATTTCTCGAAACTTCCGGGACGGTTTGAAACGGTTTAAAGGATCGGCGTATGAAGGGCGTTGAGCTGCCGTAATTCTCATTCGCTGTCCGCATGCAATTCCTCAATTATTTTACGTGGTCGAGCGTATAGTTTTCGAGGTCCAATAATAACGCGATAACTAACCTACTCCAGTTTTTTTTCTCCACGTGGCAAAATTATAATCGTAAATCTTCAATAAATTATCTCATATATATCAGACTATAATGATTAAAGAGGTTTTCTTTAGTTTTTTCTTTCTTTCTAGAGTTCCTCCCTGTATCACAATTTTATTAGAGCTGTCACAGCTCAGGGAAAATGAAATTGATCGAAAGTGCTGTAAAGTAGCTAAAAATTAATAATTATGTAATGATAATTAATAATAATACACTGAAAAAACAATATGTTTGAATCAAACTGAATTATCTTTGTTGTACACTGAATCAAAAATTATTTTTTATAATTGAACTCGCCTAGGATTTTTTTTTTTTGTTGGAATCAAAGAAACAGTCAAAATTGTATCCGGAAATCAGGGAACAACAAAATAAAATTTTTGTAGCAACCGTGATTATTAATAAATAGAAAATCGAGTTTTTGTGCAAAAAAGAAGTTCAGTTCGTCTCTTACGTATTTCTCGATTTCAGAATTGAAAAATTCGAATATTTATTATGTAATAACAGTTATAGAATTGCTTTCTTCTTTTTGTTAAAATGAAGAGATTATGATTTAACAGTTTTATTCTTCTTCTTTTTTATTTTTACCAGACTACATTTCGTTTTGTGTATCTTCTCTTAAATAATTTGTGTCATTAACTATTAATGTTCTTAGGATTATTTTAAAAATAAAATTTTCTAGAATTGCAACAGCCTATTAACATAATTGCGCAATTTTTCCTTGCATGCTGCAAATAGTAATAGTGAAGGATGGGAATTTGAAAAAGAAATATACAGCATTTTCTATTTGTACGGAAATTGTAAATAAGAACGAAATAAATGTAATGTGAGGAAATGATTTAATTAAAAGTGTTTGGAAATTATAGAGAATATCATTTTTGTTTCTCTTTCAATTCACAGTTTTTCTATAAGGATATCAAATTAAGAAAGAAAACTTATCAAAATTGATTTATTTCCTTTTTATAAATAATAAAATTTATAGCAGAATTTCTATTATTGTCAAAAGAAATGGAATTTTTCGCAGAGATTCAATTGTGTTGAAAAATTTTAATTATTCTCGTCAAAAATTCAATTATCTTTAAAAATAATGAAATTTTTCTTCAAAA